TTATCTCTTATAAACGTGAACAAACTTGTTTGTCTTAGTGATTGGCTGAACAAGAAGTAGGACTGAGTGGAATTGTAGGCTCTGAAGTTTTACATTGTTTTGTTTTTGAGTGCAGTTATGTAACCAAAAAAATCTACATTTGTAAGTTGCACTTTCACCACAAAGAAATTGCAGTGCAGTATTTGTATGAGGTGAATTGAAAAATACTATTTCTTTTGTTTATCATTTTTACAGTGCAAATATTTGTAATAAAAAATAATATACACCAATTTCAATTACAACACAGAATACAGTATATATGAAAATGTAGAAAAACATCCAAAATATTTAATAAATTTCAATTGGTATGGTATTGTTAAAACTGCGATTAATTGCGATTAAAATTTTTAATCGTTAACTCAAAAATTAATAATCGCGTGAGTTAACTGCGATTAATCAACAGCCCTAATTAATACACATTTATGTGTGTGGTATCATAATTGATGCATGCATGTCTATGCATGCATAGACAATCTTGCAATTTAAATAAGCTACAAAACATTTCAGGAGAGATTGAGTCTGGGGATTATTGATGAGGAGAAGGGATTCACTGAAGAGGTGGGTGTTAGGCAGGGGACTAGAGAATAAGCGGGTGCTTGATAATAGATGAAGACAGGAAGAGTATTGCAGGTTTTAGGAGTAGCATGCTAAAATTGCAATGGGCAACACATGTCTTGCAGAGATCCTCAAGATGGGGTTTCATTCTGCATTTTTTTCCCCTAGTGTGCAGTGTGAGCTCTAAACCCCAGGAGGAATCTAAGGGCCATTCACATTATTAACCCTTTGGAAGCTGAATACTTTTCATAAGGTTGCTCTGAACATTAATTTGGGTGGATTTATGCCAGTGTTCTGAGGGTTACAGCTAAACGTTGGAGGATTCAGGATTCCTCCTGCAGGTTCTTTCCCCCTATGGTCCTCAAATTTTGGATGCCCATCTTTCCCCTCCTGTCTGTTTCTAAGGATTGCCATTTCTTGCTAAACCTCTGGTTTGGAGGAGTGCAAGTCTCTTATTGTGGAATTTTTACTTTATTTTATATGTCGGCAAGTAGGATGATGGGGAGTGAATACTGGCATACGGAGGAGGGGGTTTTACATTAGTGTTGGTTGACCCTGTCCTCTCAGGAAATGCGTGGGTCACATTTTAACCAGTCCCTGGTTAAAAGATTGTTTTCCTGTCTTTCTTCCTTTGAACATGAGTTACTCACATGACAGCGCAGAGAACCACTGAGTTCTGTTTGAGGTGCTCAGATAGCCCTGAGTCTACACATGAAATAAGTTATTAAATAACCTGAAGGTGGAAAAGGGTACTCTCAGCAAATTGGGTTTAGGTATGGGGCGGTGATAAGATAAGTCCTCTCTACAATGGGATGTTCAATTGCATGTTTTTATAGATTCACAGATTTTTATTACCAGAAAGGACCATTAGATCATGCAGTCTCATCTTCCTGTGTATCATAGGCCACTAAATTTCACCCAGTTATCCATGTATTAACTTGTGTTTGGCTAAAGGATATCTTCCAGAAAGGCATCAAGAGATGGAGAATCCACTTACCCTAGGACAAGGGCTGAAATGCTATATTCTGCATCTGGAGACAGTTACTTGAAAGCATGCCTTTGTGCCAGGCCTCCTTACTCTGTAATTTGGAACAAGCACTGGGGTATTTGTTATGTAAATGGTGCTGCCTGTGTATACTGCAGTGGGAGAACTCTGCCAAATAGAAAACCAGTCCGTGTCCCAGGGAGTTTCCAGGCTAAATGCATGAGAGGGTACAAATCAAGAGAACAAACTCAAGCTGTCCCAGTATGGTCACTATTGCTAGAATGCTTACTGGGAATAGGTGGATATTCAGAAGCCTTGTGGTGGTGGTGGTGAGTTTGGTGTGCTTCAGAGGGCTGCTCCAGATGTCTGAGGCAGCATGGAAGAAGGCCTGAAGTCAGAAGTGGGTGAGGTTGCTGAAGAGTGGTTAGGAGAGAAGCTTGGATGGCTCAGAGGGCCTGTGGGGTGTGGAAGGAGAAGAAATACCCAGCTTTTTACACTCAAAGAGTTCCTGAAGCTGATCTAACTAGTGATTAGTCTCCTTGATGAGACAGCATCTCTGTGAAAGAAGCTGTGGCCCCAAATTGTACACCTCCTAAGAAGGCAACCAAGTAATTTAAAATCCCTCTTGGTGTTGGATTAGGAAAGGAGAAATCATCTCTTTCAGGGGCTCTTCTGGTTGTAGGAATGTGAATTAATTCTGTGGATTGATTTTAACATTATGGGATGATTTGTGTCTGTTGGGTACTGTTGACTGAAGGCATTTAATGTCATTGCGAAGCTGAAGTGGTACTGCCTTTGATAAAAGATTTTACATATCAAAGTGCTGCCCTATCAAAGATGAAATGGGGGAGGATTCTTCTACTGCATTAGAGAACCTGCCTTTTACCTCACTACCTTTGTCCTGACCTCACTGTCTTCTACCTCTCCTTCCCTCTTTCCTAGTCCAGTAGAAGCCTTTGTAGCATCTGCCTCTTGGCTGGAAGGACAGATATGTTGCAATGTCATCCAGGAGTAAACAATATTAATATTAAATCAGATTGCAGTGATTTCTTCCAAGTTACTGGCATGTAAATCTTCTAGAAGCTATTATATAGGCAGTTGCCAGGTGATTTGTTATCCTGAGCAATGCTGAGGTTTCAAGGCTCGCTTCTTTGAGTCACATTAGCAGGAATCTGACGACTAACTAGACTTGTATGGTCATTTGTCCTGGATTTGGTTTGCTTTACTTAAAAAAAGTCAAATATCTGCAGAAAACTGAACAAACTGCCTGATCTCTATCTTGAAGCAGTGTGTCGGTGGAATTGCAGATGGACTAGTTTTCTGCTTTATCTGGGCTTACAGCAAACAGGATGTAAAACCTTATCATAAGGACAGGGCTTTCAAGTTAGAAAAAGGAACCTTTGATTCTGCCTTCTGTGAATGAATTTCCTTTTCCATACCCTAGTGTTATACCCTATTCCATACCCTTCTGTTGAGCTACTGCTTGAAGCCCCTCTGTTACGTCACTGGAGGATGTTAACATCTCTTGATCCTAAACCAGCCAGATCTTTTCTGCTCACAAACGTTTAGCCCAGTTCAGCCAGGTGGTCCAGCTCCTGCCTGCTTGGAAGGATAGCATGGTTATAGCTTCCCTTTACAGTGGGATTAGAAACAGGAAAGGAATCTCTATTTCCCATGACCTGGGAAGCACTTATATGAATGTACCTGTTGCATAGTACACCTCTACCCCGATATAACGCGACCCGATATAACATGAATTTGGATATAACGCAGTAAAACAGCGCTCTGGGGGGCTGCGCACTCCGGCGGATCAAAGCAAGTTCGATATAACGCGGTTTCACCTATAATGCGATAAGATTTTTTTGGCTCCCGAGGACAGTGTTCTATATGGGTAGAGGGGTATGTGTAATTATGCAGTAAAGTCAAGGTGTGTAGCTGAGCTGCAGTATGTCTAGTAAGGGAGTACCCCAGATTATCACCCCCTTTCTGTATTTGGTTGTTCCCCGGGGAGGTGGTCTGTATTTCAGAGCCATTCTGAATCACTGATAATGTATTGCTTAGAATTATTGGGGAACTGGTCTGTCCAAGCTGCACAGCTGGGTGCTTGATTTCATTGTAAGAAGCTGCACCACCTAGGATGCATGACCCTTGATATGTGAAGTTGGAAGCTTGCTCTGAGTGAAAATTTGCCCAGTTGGCTGCCCTATTCAAGAAGCCTCTTGTCTGGAGCTTCAGTGCATGGAGGTGCTTAAGTTATTAATGGGGCTAATTAATTCCCACATACCCCACTATACTATCATAGAGATTAATTAAGTTCTGTCAAGTGAAGTGCCTCCTTTCTTTCTAAGGCAGGGGCGGGCAAACTTTTTGGCCTGAGGGCCACATCGGGTTTCCAAAATTGTCTGGAGGGCCGGTTAGGGGAGGCTGTGTCTCCCCAAACAGCCAGGCGTGGCTTGGCCCCCGCCTCCTATCCAACCCCTGACGGCTCCCCCGGGACTCCTGCCACATCCAACCACCCCTTCTCCCTGTCCCCTGACCACCCCTGGAACCCCTGCCCCTGACTGCTCTCCGCCACCCCATCCAACCCCCCCCCTTCCTGACCCCTACCCCCATTCAACTCCCTTGTTCCCTTCCCCCGCCCCGACCCCTATTCACACCCTCACCCACTGACCACCCTCCCCCCAACTCCCCTGCCCTCTATCCAACCCCCCCTGCTCCCTGCCCCGTTACCGCACTGCCTGGAGCACCGGTGGCTGGCAGCGCTACAGCCGCGCTGCCTGGAGCACCGGGTCAGGCCGCAGCTCTGCAACCGCGCTGCCTGGCCGCCCAGAGCATTGCGCTGGTGGCACCGCGCGCTTGAGGCTGCAGAGGAGGGGCTGGGGATTAGCTTCCCGGGCCGGGCAGGAGGGTCCCGCGGACCGGATGTGGCCCACGGGCCGTAGTTTGCCCACTTCTGTTCTAAGGACATGTGAAAGTAATATATTAATTCCTACTCTGCAGTTTAAAATAACAGTTTCTTTCCTTCCACAATTTGTTCTAGACAGGATCCAAGAGTGCTGAGCTAGGTATTCACTTAGCTTGGCAGATTCTGCTGCGGTGGGAGCTGCACAGACAGGAAATGCAGGCCTCATAGCTGATTCACAGAACAAATCTGGCCTGTAACAGAGAAGCAGAGCTGGCTTCATGACTAAGTGTAATAGGCGATGCTCAGGGTGTTGTGGAGAGGGCGGTACCAAGTATGCTAAGAGTGGGAGAGGTAGTTAAATGGGCAGAGCCTCTTGTGGAAGGAGTGCCTTGGTTGCTCTTCTGACTTGTGTTGAGGTGCTGTGAGAGGACATAGCAGAGGAACAGGATATTTTAAGACTCCTTCTTTCACTCCGTTTTTCTTTCAAAAACTGCAGTTTTCTCTTCTTTCTTTTAGACTTGGCAAAGCCTCCAGTAATTGAGCCAAAGGATCCGGAACAGCTGCTAATGCAGACGCCCCAGGGAAACCCGCTGCTGCTTTCCCACACCCTACAAGAGCTGTTGAGCAAGGACACTGTGCAGGTGGAGCTTATACCTGAGAAGAAGGGCCTCTTTCTGAAACACGTGGAGTATGAAGTTTCCAGCAAGGTAATGTGGGAGAACACTGGTGTCTGTGGGAGAACGTGTTCCCGTAGGAGTTTCCATGCAGTTGTTTAACCTGTATTCAAAAGCCAGATACTTTTTTTTTTAATCTGTTCAATGTATTGGTGATGCTGGTTTGAGTCAGGCATTCATGTAGGTATCTTTTACAGTTTTGCCACTGCAGCTTAATCCTAACCTCTGCTTTTCCAATATTGGGCCTCTCCAAAGCAGGGACTGACAAATACTGTTGTCGTTTTGTAAGGTGAATGGACATCTTCTGAGGACTAGAGTGTAACTACCAAACTCACTTGAAGACTAGACTGTATATGAATGCACATATGGCACAGCCAGCAGCAATGCAGGTTCTCCCATGCCACTGCCAATTCACTTCCCCAATCCTGACTGTAGGGACCACCTTTGGAGCAAGAGGGGAACTCAGTTTTTATCCCCTTTGTGAGACTGCTCACTAGTGTCTTCTGTGATGGGGTGGTGGTTTTTTGATGAGGCTATCCGTCCCATAAGAACTGGCCCAAGAGCACCAGCTCACTCCACACAGGTCACCAAAGAAGCAACTGTCTGACAGTGTTGTAGCAATTTTCAGTGACTACTGTCCTTAGCCAGAGTCATCTTTGGATCACAGGTTTGAGAGACTTCTTATCCCATTACCAATTCCCTGAGCCGTCATTCTTCCAACAGTTCTCTTTCTGTGTAATGAGATTCTTCATAAAGAGGCTTGGGCACCAGCTCAAATCTCCAAGAACAAATCAGACTGCTGATTGCTGAGCAGATACGAGGAAGTCCTAAGAGCTGTATCCATTGTGCTCCAGTTATTTGTCAAGTTGGGTTATTTCTGAAATTGCACAGCTCTGCAATAAGAACTAGCAGTGTACGATGCAAATGTAATGTGGCTGGATGTGATGACATTTGGTCTTTTCAACATGCTATTCCATCAGCCAAATGTGTTTTTTAAATGACTTGTCAATGTGCCTTTCAAGTGTCTCTCTTTATATGCTACATCACTCATTTTGGACCCAAATTAATCTCCAAAACCTGGGTGTTCTCACTGTTCATTCCTGCAATCTGACATCAGAAATGCAAAAGTCTTGAAACTAAGGTTATAAGGAACTTCAGGCTGTTTTAGGAATCCCACAACAATTCCCACTTTCTCCTCATTCTGCTGCATGACTCACTAAAAAAGGTCAAAGAGCTGGGTTTTGGAGGGCTGAGAATTATGTTTGCTTAAAGCTATTTTGCTTCCCCTGGCATTAGACCTGGTTTGGTGGATGTTACCAGGAACTGGAATCGTGACTGGAGTACATCAGCATTGAAATACTCCTTAATGATGATAGGGTGCTCATTGCAATTGTATTGTTCCTTTATGTCTTTGTGTGATGCAGGAGAGAGAGACCGGTTTGGTGGAGGAATTATGTGGAATCACAGCAAGTTTAGGGACATCTATCACCTCCTTCCAGTAAACCACAGAAAACATCTCCCCTTTCCTTTATAAAATGTCTTTGCCCCCATGTTTTGTGTGTATGGAATTTGAAATGTGCCCTTTGCTGAAACTCTTGTTCCCAAAGGGACCTAACCCACCAGCAAGCTATCCAATTTATATTAAGCCATCCAAGTGCATAACTGAGAGGTGGCTGGAGGGTTCTGTGTGACTTTTTTTTTTTTTTTTTTTTTTTTTTTTTTTTTTTAACTGTTAGCTTAAAGCAAGTGATCTGCAAATCCAAGAAATGTACCAGCCATTCTCTTAAATCCCACATGTGGCTTTAACTTTACTGAAATGCTGCTATTGTTCCTGACTGGGTATTGTGAGGTTTCTTTCTCTATTGCAGCGCTTCAAGTGCTCTGTGTACAGGCGATACAATGACTTTGTGGTATTCCATGAGATGCTGCTTCAGAAGTTCCCATATCGTATGGTGCCTGCACTTCCTCCAAAGAGAATGCTGGGAGGTAAACCTGGGTCTTCCTAGTGACTGAATGGGCTCTGGTATGAATGTGCTCATGAGAATACAGTCAAGAATGCACGTGTCTCGAAGAATCCATAGCATTTGTTGTTCTCTGGTTCAAAAAGCAGTGCTGACAGTGTAGTGTGACAGCGTACCTTGGGGAGGCCAGCACTGCATTGCTGGAAGTCATTTTCAGATAAGACATTAATGTAAAGTTCCACTGGTGACTCTCCAGGTGTAAGTTGAAAATCCTATGGCATTCATGAAAAGAGTAAGGCTAGCCCTAGAGTGAGGGATAGACCTAGAATAGGGTAGAGTTTCAGCTATTTCTTCCCCAGTAAAGTAGGTTATAATGTCGGTGGTCCTGACGCACATTGACTAGTGCAGAATGGCTACTGTACCATTAAGCAGTTGCAGCATGTACTGTAGCACATTGCTTTGAGAAGTGCTCTGAGTATGAAAGATGCTTTAGATACCCCTTCTCTCTTCTGTGGTGGGAGAACCATAAAGATGGAAAGTGGGGAAAATTATTTGCATATGAAAAGGTTTAAATACTCCAAAAGAAATTAGTGTATAAAAAAATGTTCACATCCCTCAGTGAGAGTGTGGCTTACTCCAATTTTTCTTTGTTCAAGCTTATGGCCTTTATTTACAAGCACAGAGACTGTAAGTAAATAGGTTCTCCAGGCTGTGTCATCTCCCCCGGAAACCTTTCTATACCAATATTGGCCACGTGAATAAAGTAACTATGCATATATAAAAGGTATCTTCCTATCAGAGAGATTCTTGTTCTTCTCTTACAAAAATCACCTATCTCAGGAGTAGCTTTTTTCTTGTTCTGCTTTAAAAACAGATTGTCTAGTTATGTAGAGTCAAAATAGAAACTAAAAAGATTAATGATGGGTTTGGAATCAGACTATCATTTCCTTCATATTCTAATGGTTACAATGTACTTGTGGATAGTGAAATACTCCAAGCTTGACTACACATCAAAGCTACTTTGGATATATTTTTCTCTAGTCTGAAATCTTGACACTGTTTTTAAGTTTTATTTTTATTATTTAATACATTACATAAGTCTTTTATACAGTTTTGTTTCTGCTTTATCTGCTAAAGAACAAGCCTTTCACTGTCTTGTCTTCTGCCCATATTGCCAAGCTTAACATTTCACACTAAATTATTCATTTAATTTAAGGAGTCCACATTATGCCATAGAAAAAGAAGAATCAGAAATTAGTGAACGGTTCTGGCGCAGGGTTTAAAGTGAACCAGAACAGGCCAGAATGATAATTCTGGAGCTACTCTGGTCGTGTTGTCAATTTCTGCAGAATGTAAGATGTCAGGGGCGTGTTTTTTTTTTTTTTTTTTTAAATATAACTCTTGAGGTTTCAAGGATAATTATTGAATATGATCTAATGCAGTGCAGTCTGTGAGAATTTGAAGACCTACAGCCTGAAACAATACCTGTGAGAAGAGTGACCTGCTCCTGTTAATATTAGTGGAGAGCTGACGCTTAAACCTAACAATAACTAATGGCACCAATACTGAATGTCAACACTATTTCACTGCTGATCATTTTATTTAAGAGGATTTATCAGTGAGTACAGATATCATAGAAGTTAGAGACGCAAAACATCTACGAGGTTATCGTTTTCCAGCCCCATATTAGTACTGGATTATTCTCTACTATATATCTTCCACTCCTTTATTCTGTGTGTTTCTAAATTATCCAAATGTTGGCACTTCCATCACTTCCCATGGGAGACTATTCTGTAGTCCAACAAATCTCCCATTTAGGAAGTAATTTGCCTTCTGATTTTTTTCCCCATCTTAATTTTTCCTTTTTTTTTTTTAAATCTCCTTGTTGCTAGTTCTCTCCAGGGTTGTGTATGAACCATAAAGAAAGGGAGTGGCAGGAAGCAATTGGAACGGAGCAGAGTTTCACCACTCTCTCCTTCCCTTCCATGCACTTTGACTTGAGTTTGTCTTTCCATGTGTGGTAGTAAGTACCGATGACCTAGAAAACTTTACAAGAAACAGAACTACTGTTAAAATTCGTCCTGGTAATTGCTGTTTCACTGCATGTTATCAGTGGGTGGATATGTCTAGTTAGATTAATAAAACACGGAAGCAGAATGGCAGAGCACAAGGTTTTAGTGGACTTGTGACTCGAGCAACTGAAAATCACTTGGTAGTTAAGGATCATTATGGGACCGCTGGTGGCCAACAAACTCAAGTTAAAGGTGAACTGGGAAGCAAAAGGCTGTGATGCCCTTCACTTGTCCCTTTATGATGTGAAAATGTTGCCAGGGACAATTCTAATAAGCTGTGGTGGGGGGGTCTCTAGGCTATTTGTGTACTTAGAAGGCTGCATGGTTTTCTTTGCAACCCTTTCTTCTCCCTTAAAAAAACAAAGAGATGCTACTTTTTTGTTTTGTTTTTGTTTAACTTTACAAATATCAGCTCTGGCCTTCACTTCTTCCTGGAAGACTTTAGCATGATGTTTGAATTACTTGGATAAGGACATGACAATAGTCTGAAATCTGAGCCCCTCCCATTTCCGGGAGGATGAGTTGCTGAACTTCTTGTAGCCTGACAATTAGGATCTAGGAGAACTGCACCTTAGGGTTTAGTTTATTGTGAATTGTCCTCCAAAGGTCTCAGCAAAGTCTTCCATAGAAAAGAGGAAAACCAGTTTTAACAAAACAAAAAACAAATTAACAACAACAAAACACAACACACCAAACCAAAACAAAGAAAAAAATCCCAACCCAAACAATGTATGGGGCAAGGGAACTTCTGGGGAAAATATTTTGAAGCCATCTTTCCACAACATAAAGGAGCAAAAAAGGGTACAAATGTTAATTTTGCTTGGCACGTCATCTATTAAAGATCTGGGATGATTTACTTGTCGTTGGACCAGAATTTGTAGCTGGTGCTTATAAAAATTATCTGTATTGCAGTAGTGCCCAGATGCTCCACACAGGATAAGAATCCCATTGTGCCAGATGCAGCATAAAAATAAAGGAAGAGAAGCTCCGGCTATGTCTACACTATAGATCTTGCAGCGGCTGCAGTTGCGCTGCTGTAAGGTCTCCCGTTTCGCCGCTCTTTGCTGTCGGGAGAGAGCTCTCCTGTCAGCATAATTAAACCACCCCCAACGAGCTGCCGTAGCTATGTCAGCGAGAGTCGCTCTCTCACCAGCATAGCGCTGTCCACATTGGTGCTTCTGTTGGTGAAACTTAACGTCGGTCAGGAGTGTGTTTTTTCACACCCCTGACTGACAAACGTTTTACTGACAAAAGTGCTAGTGTAGACATAGCTTCCCTGTACACAAGAGCTTGCAATCTAAGGCTCCAATCCTGCAAATTCACACGTGCTTAACTTGACTCACCCGGGTAGTCCTGTTGAGGTAAATAGGTGCAGAAGGGTTTGCGGAACTTAAGACAGGCTGTAACAAACCATTTGAGGGAGTGGGGGTTTGCAGTGTTCTGCTAATCAATGGCTAGACCAGTGAACCCAGCAGACCTGTTGCATGGAGCTGCCAGAAGGCACAAGTAGTACTGTTCTTGGGTTTTGCTGCAGATGTAAATGCAAGGGAGCAGTTGGACTTGATGCTGCCTTTCCCTCTTTCTGAGCCTGTTGCAATGCCTGATGCATTAACACTAATGTAGTGTTCCCTCCTGTAGCTGACCGAGAATTCATAGAGTCTAGGCGGCGGGCTCTGAAGCGTTTCATTAATCTGGTGGCTCGACATCCCCCTTTCTCAGAAGATGTGCTCCTGAAGCTCTTTCTCTCCTTTAGTGGCTCGGTGAGTATTTGTTGATGATGCCACGTGTATGCATATCCTCCTGTGCACTGGGAAACAGTTACCGAGTTTAGAGCTGCCTATTGCCTGCACATTTGTCATCCCCACAATTGTGATCCTGGCTACAAGGGGCTAGTGGAGCATATCGTCCACACTAGGTACTTCTGCTACTGGACAGTGAGATGTGTCATCTCTGCAATGCTGTAGGCATGATCTCTTGAAAATAATGCTCTTTCCTGTGGCAATATATGTCACACCACTCCTTATCTCTGATACTCCCCAGAAAGGTATTTGACCAGGGGAGAGCTAAGAAACGTTGTTGTTCTAGGACTTCTCAGTCTCCTAATGCAGACTTTTAGCACAGGAAGAACTTTCTCCTCAGACGAATACAGCATTTGAGGTGGAGGGTTAACATTTGTATGTGTTTAAATTTTTGGGAAGAGGGTGATACAGGAGTTGGAAATTCATAGAGAGAGATGGGTCAGGGCCTACAAATGGGCTCAGTATATGGAATCACTTTTTTCTCTGCCGCTTTGGCATGAGAGGTTGATTTTTCCCTCCAGGAGGAAGGGTTAAATGCCATGAAAAGGTGGACCCTTTCCGTGTGTAATAAAAGCAACCATCAGCTGTGGATTGTTGCTTTAGTGCATGAGGAGGCCCAGGTTTTAACAGGATTGAAATTGCCTTTCATTGTCACTGTGGGAATTGCCAGATGGGTTGAATTGGTTGGTTGGTCGTTTCTTTTGCTTTTCCAGGATGTGCAAAACAAGCTGAGGGAGTTGGTCCAAGGAGTGGGAGACGAGTTCATGACTTGCCAACTAGCCCCCCGGGCCAAGGTATTTTTCTTTATGGTGCATAATTGCAATCTTAATCCCGGTAGCCCATGTTCACAAGGTCTTGTATCTGTTGGGTAAAAGAGAGGGGCTGTAGTTGAAGAGGAAAGGAACAATTTCCACAGAGAACTGTAAGGGACCTTCTTTTGACTTGATCTTCTGTTTTCTTCATCACAAAACATATAGTTGGTTATTTCCAGGCCCAGAATGTCCAGCCTGGGTCTGCTTAGTAAAATGGTACAAAATTAGTATGAGAGAAGTGTTTGTCCAAATGCACATAGTTTGAAAGTTCATCCTGTCGCTTGCTATTCCTTTGTGTCATCATCCCTCTCTGTCTATGAGAGAAGCTATGAATCTCACCATGGTTTGTTTGTTTGTTTGGGGAAGGCTGCTGTACCCTAGTTGTGTATCATGCTTGCTGAACCTGACATCACTGCTCCCCTGAGTTGCTTGCTTTTGTGGAAGTTCAGCCTGGGGTGAGGGGAAAATAAAGCAGTGAGTGAAGGGTTAAATGTTGCTTATGGGTTTAAAAAAAAAAAAAAAAAGAGGTCTTTACAGCACCTAGCATAATGGGGTTCTGGTCTGTGACTGGGGCTCCTAGGTGCTATCGCAATACAAATAAATAATAAAGATGGTCCCTTTATTATTCAGCAGTCCTGCCCCCTATGTGTGTATTATTCACAGTGCTTGACACTAGGGACTATTCAAACTTTTACTGATGTTAGCTCTGCAGAGCAAACCCAGCTATGGGAGACTGAGGTGGATCCTATTGTGGCCCATGCGTCACGAGTGGAATTGTTAACTAAACTCTGGTTGCACAATCTTTTACTGATGAGGTACAAGCCAGAAGCAGCTCAACTCAGCTTGTAATACCTGGTTGAGTTTGCAGGGCTGGAGTCACTGATAGGCCTGGAACATCATAATGCCATTTTCAATGGCTCCTCTCAGAGCATAAAACCATTTTCGGTATCACCAGGTTACTACTCCTAATCTCTCTCTTTGTGACTTATCATGCAACGGAGTCCATTACTAAGCTTTCTTTTGCTGCCTCAGGACTTCCTCCCAGCCGACATCCAGGCCCAGTTTGCTGCCAGTCGAGAGCTTATCCGAAACATCTACAACAGCTTCTACAAACTGCGGGACCGTGCAGAAAGAATAGCTTCCCGAGCCATTGATAATGCCTCAGATCTTCTCATATTTGGAAAGGAACTAAGGTAGATTAGTGTGTGAGGATGCCCTCTAGAGCACATTCTGTGAACAGCCTTGAGTTTTAAAGAGAGCAAGAGATGTACCAGTAGAATGTCTATGGGGCATGTACTTCTGAAGACGCATGGCACAAACCAGGTTCACTTTTTCCTGTTGCAGAGAGAAGAAAACATAGTGGGTGTGTTCCCCAGGGTGAGGGAGAGAAAACAGCATTGACATTCTGCATCTGATTTACACTTGCATGAAATGGTGCAGCCCCCAAGTACATGGGTGTGTGGTCGTGCACATTCATAGACCCTTTTACATGCTGTATATGTTCACACACACCACATTTTTGTTTTAAATTGAAAACACTAACGGGCTTGCTAGTGCACAGTTCCTTTCATTTTCTCTCATTTGTGTGTGCATACTCTCACCCACATATACATATCCCAACCTGCTATCACTGCACTTTGCTGCTAACTTGACCTTCTTGGGGAGTAGGTATAAACTTATTGCCACCTGATTCCTAGGGGACTCTATTTCCCCAGAGCCTACTAGTGAGTTTTGAGAGGGGGAAACTTCCAGTAACTGCTGGGATGGGTAAATCATCAGACCAACCTAGCTGCTTAGTGGGATCTTACTCACTGCCTCTTCTTTCCTCTGCCAGTGCTTTGGGCTCAGACACGACACCACTTCCCTCCTGGGCTGCTCTGAACAATAGCACGTGGGGGACTCTGAAACAGGCCTTGAAAGGCTTGTCTGTTGAATTTGCGCTGTTGGCCGATAAGGCTGTACAGCAGGTGAGTTCCTCTGCCATTTGCTTCTCCTATATAATCACAATTGCATTGAGCATTGAGAGAGATGTTTTTTGCCTAGTGTCGCCTCTTGATTCAAAGGCCTTCTAGGCATGGGTGCCCGAGAAAGTACTCTCCCTTTCTTAGCAGCTATGCAGGCATTAGTCTAAAGCCATGTCCAACTGGCCAGATATGCTACTGGGCTACATGTTCTGACTGGTGGAATTAAAAAACTCAAAGGTGTTAAATGAGGAGGGGAAAAGTTAAATGTGCGGGGAGCCTTTTTAAAAAGGTTTAAAGAATAAAGTAAATAGTGACTGTCCCAAGCTGTCCAAGAATCCTGCACTCTGCCTGGCTAAGATCATATGGGGAATATAGTCCGGCAAAACCTGTTTCTGTATCCAGTTGTGACCTTCACCACTTGTTAAACACTACATGAAACTCATTCCGACAGAACACAAGAGGTCTTATTGCTGTTGAAACGGCATAATGTGATGACGAATAACACGAGCACATGACAATCCAAAAAGACGAGTGATAGTTTCTCTTCACTGCAACCGTCACTTCATGCTGCTAAAGATGTTCTGAGTGCTTTACAGATAAATAAAACCAGTTTCCTGCACCAAGGAGCCTAAGTTCTAGAGAGCCACATTTGTGACACAGACATAGGCAGGGAAAAGGGGCATAAGAAACAAACAAGCAAGTGCTGAAGTTTAGCTGGTGTCTTGTCAGCTCTGCTTTTTGTTTCATTAAGTCTTCTAAGGAGGAAGTGCTGGTCACCTGGAATAAGTGTCTTAAGGAGGGAAGATGAAATCCTGGTGGATTCTATGAGTGCAGGGGTTCCAGACAGAGCTGCATGGAAAACCTCAGAGGACTCATGATGCCAACTTCTTGTTGCAGTGATCAGGCAATCCGAATGCTGTTCCTACTCCAGTTAGTTCTGTGTTCATCCTGGTGTCCAAGCTTAAGATCTCCAGTCCCACTGTGAGAGCTGCTTGATGTAGCTATGTAATGGCTGGTGTGCCCTGGAGATTCCTGTGGAGGGTCAACATACTGAGTGGGTTTGTGGAGCTGTGATGTGAGCTCTTGCCAGGCTTATATGAAATGTACTTGTCTCTTGTTTTCTAGGGAAAACAGGAAGAGAGTGATGTGGTGGAGAAGCTGAACCTTTTCCTGGATTTACTCCAGTCCTATAAAGTGAGTGCTGCTGTTTCTCTGCCAGTGAGACAGTTGTTTAGAACAGTTTTGTGCTTTTTAGAGGGTGTAACGCCAAGTGAATGGAAAACTGGCTGGACAGTCAGTTCAGAGGCAAACTGGCATTATGTAGAGTGAGGGGAGTGATTCTCCCTTGGCTAGCTCTGAAATGTTACTGATCTGTTCTTGGCTCATGAAAAGTTTTGTGGACACCAGACCTTGCAAGGAGTTGAAGATATCCATCTGCTTCACTTGTAGGAATCCGCTAATCTTTTTCATAAGTCAGCTATTTTGGGGGAAGGGGAAGTGAATGAATTAGTGGACCTGCCTTTTACATGTGAAGACATTAGTTCAGTTACAAGTGAAATTAGTTTTACGATCTCAGCCTACTCCTTCAGGGACACCCTGCAAAAAGCAGCTAAATACAGTTCAACACAGTTGGCAGCCTTCCTGAAGAGGGGCCCTGTCCAGGATTGGAATAGCAGGGCACTGCAAGCTAACAAGAGGTTAATTAGCAATGTTTAATATTGAAAAGGGATACCCAGATAGGAAGTTTGGTGTTGGTAAAGTTCAAGGCACATTGACAGAGATGCAGCTTCAGATCACCTGCTGTACCCTCTGTTTTGGCTCAGAACAGTTCTGGTTCTCATTTAAAAAAAAAAAAGGCTTTATTTGAAATACTCCACAGTTTAGAAATTTAATGGGACACCTTTCATGCCCTCAGCTGTGTACCTCCCAGATGTGCATGTTCTCTTCTCCCCACCCTCTCCCATGGCCCGCTTTCCTGTATCTAGGCTCTGGTATGGGGTGAGTACTAGTTGTTTCCCTTCTTCCTGAAGGATCTATGTGAGAGGCATGAGAAGGGAGTACTGCACAAACACCAGCGAGCTTTGCACAAATACAGCATGATGAAGAAGCAGATGATGAGTGCCACTGTGCAGAACAAGGAGCCAGAGTCCGTGGAACAGCTGGAGTCACGAATTGTGGAGGTAGGGCAGATGTTTCTGTGTGTGGGAGTGATGGGTAGCATGTGTGTTGGATGGAAACCTCTTCCTAATACTGCCATAATGTGGCTTATCAGTGCTTTTGGAACAGGCAGAAAGGGTCACCCATAGATCTTAGTCTTATTCAAATTAATTGCTGTGCTGTAAAGAATTTGCATTTGTTCTACTGAACACTTACTGCTGGTGTTTGGTATCCAAAACAAGGTGGTCCAATATAGCTGCCTGTAGGAGGTGCAGAAATGCACAGTCTGCATGGTGGAAAGTACTTGCTATGTGACCTCTCCAGTTGCTGCAAGCAAAATGGGCACAGGACTGCGTTTTTGATTTTTGGTAAGTGCTTGAGTTACAGGGTAGAGAGGAGAACTTGTGCTCTGCTGGTGTGAGTGGACACTGAGGATGATGCATTTCTTCTGCGACCCTTGCATCACCCTTCTGGGCAATGAGGTTAACTGGGTTTTTTGTGTCTCAGCAAGAGAATGCCATCATGACCATGGAGCTGCGGAATTACTTTTCTTTGTACTGCCTGCACCAGGAGACACAGCTAATCCATATCTACCTGCCTCTCACTTCCCACATCTTGGGAGCTTTTGTCAACTCCCAGATCCAGGGCCATAAAGAGGTAAGTTCTTCAGTCATCTTGCCTCCCTTTCCCCTGTTGAAAATACGTATTTGAGCTGTTTGTTTTCCCCTCTTTCTCAAAGAGTGGGGCTGTCCTTGGGAAGGTGGTGCTGACAAACCCAGGGGAAGTGTAAGTGTGTATGTGTATTTTTTCCAGTCCCCGCACTTCCCAGGGTGACTTTAGCTTTGGAGCTGTCTGAGAATCATCTGTGGAATGCTGGGTTATTCAATTGTGGATGCTGTATATTTGCTAGATGGATTTGCTTTTTTGCTTTGTGTTAAACAGAAATTATATAGCAAGAAAAAGGACCTAATACAGGGGTGGACAAACTATGGCCCGTGGGCCGCATCTGGCCCATCAGAGCTTTTAATCCGGCCCTTGAGCTTCATTGCCCCACTTCGGCCAGGGAGTGGAGTTTGGGGCTTGCTCCGCTCCGGCGCCCTGATCCTGCTCCCCAGAAGGAGGGTGGGCAGGGGGAGTGGGGCAAGCCCCTGACCCCGCTCACCGGCTGGAGCACTGGTGGTGGAGTGGGGCAAGTGATGGGGTGGACCTGCCCTGGATGATGTGTGTGTGTGTGTGGACCACGGCCCACCCAGACCCACCTGTGGCTACGTCCTGGCACAGCGTGTCTTTTCGGATTAAAAAAAAACATTGTCATCACAGTTCTTCGTTCATGGCCTGCCATACAATTTCCATACCCAGATGTGGCCCTCAGGCCAAAAAGTTCCCCCCCTTCTCTCCCCCGCTCTAACAGGTTGCCTTGTTATGTGTTTAAATAAATCATTCAGCATTTCCTAGGTTCAGACTTCTTTCCATGCATTGCTTCATGGAAATGTGTGTTGGGGGAGACAGTTTCAGTGGAGGGCTCTAACCAAGCCTTCAAAACTCTGTCTCTTCCCTGCCTGCCTATTTTGGTAAGGATGACAGGATCTTCAGAGAGCTGCATTAAAGCACCAGTTTGATGGAGAGGTGCTCTGGACTTACTGGTTTTCCATATAACATTTCTGCAAATGCACTGGCTTTTGACCAACCTCCAACACAGCTTAGTGCTACCATGAACTCAGACCTTTGAGTGTGCTATGTGACAAGGTGATGACCCACCAAGCTGTTTTGCTTTCTCTCCTCTAGATGAGTAAAGTTTGGAATGAACTGAAGCCAAAGTTAAGCTGCCTGTTTGTGGGACCCCACAACATGCCAACACCACCATTGTCACCCCCAGAGGGCAACTTCTTTGCCAATTAACGCTCTGAGATCTGACACTGACCAAGTCGAAGTGTGGTCAAGAGAGGGGTGTGACCTCTATCTCCAGATATTAAAAGGAATCCTCCAAACAGCTATTTTTATACTGCTGCTTTGAGCTGCTCTCTGACTTATGGACAGACTGGAAACCGAAGCACATACAAAGAAAGAGAGAGACAATCTCCTGATTTTTGTTCTTTATTTTGAAGTGCCTTGGGGCACGACTGAGATTCATTGCCCCAGAGGCCCTCTGCCTAAGGACTGGAAGTGGCTTGGTACATCACTTGCTGCAGTTCAGCTGTTGCTGAAGTCTCATGCTGCTCATACTAACTACCCTCTTACAGCTATCAACACATATACTGGCCAATGTGTAAAGTGCTGAGTCGCACAGGCTGTCTGAAGCATTCCTTGCTATTTAAGCTTGGGGCCCAACCTAGAGGCATATGTGGGTAAGGAGAGCTGAAGGCTAGCCTCCCTTTCTCCCCAGGTTCATTGGTTAGATGTTTGATTTCATATTGCTAGATCCACATGCAAAACAGAGGAAAGCTTCTGGTTGGCTCTCTAGCTCTGCTGGGTGGGTCAGTGCTGGATGTGATGTTTCCCAGTGTGGGAGTTGAACTCATGTCACAGGAGAGCACAGGGCATATTTGCTCATGAGTGGTAATGTGTGGCCAAAGATGACCTTGCTGAACAGCATTTCTTACGGGAGTCTGCCAGTCACATGTGTAGAAAATAGCTGATTGAAACTACGATACACCCCTTAGAAAGGGATAACTTTTCATACTGTTGAAGCAGGGCAGTTCTGGGGTGATCAACTTTCCTGGGAAGAGCTGGAGTCTTCACTCCTGGGTGTCTGTTACACGCTGGTATCCTCAGAGGACGGCTGCCTGTAAGATCCCGAACTGGCTAAGGCTGATGTTCCCTCTGATCTACTATCAATTGTTACATAACCAGGACAGGACTGAACATGTTCAGTCCATCAGCAAGAGTCAGTATTTATCATGATGATGCTGCCACTCTTTTCTGGCAGCACCACCATGATCATCATCTCTTGAAGATGAAGACAAACGCCTTGAGGTGAAGGAGGCAATAAGCTTCAAGTGAGTGAAAAGGAAACACACTGACTAGGAAGAATGAGCTGTCAAATTTGGACCATAATTATTTCCCTATTCTAGGTAACTTGCCCATTAAAGGGGGATATATTCAACTTCTCTAATTTTAGAATTCTGATTCTTATATATAGTGTTGGCTAGTTTCTGCTGCAAGAGGAACTAGGATTGAAATAACCAAAGTTACTTGACATATGTCAATAAGCTAATCAGTGTTCTGGTGTCTGGGACAGGCAGGACCCTTCCATCTTTGAGAAATCACCACTGTGGGACAGGGGCTACACTAGATTGTCCTACATAGGACACTGAGTTTGTCTACATTGCAATCATCAGATGTGACTACAGCATGTGTAGGCATAGCCAAGCTCGCTTTACTCTAGCCAGCTCAGCTACTGGGAGCAGTGAAGCCCTGGCAGTGCACAGTTCAGCGCTGACTGTACAAATGTGTCCAGAACCCAGGTAATTACTTGGATGACTAGCCCATGCTGAAACCAGTGCTGCTCTTGCTTCACTCCTACTCACACACAAGCTAGCTTGATTAAACTAGCTATGTGAACTGCAGCCACACTCTATTAATGCAGTGTAAATGTGCCCGGTGTGTGTCGATTTCTTGGTGCTGGGGCTAGGGAGAGCTGTGGCTTTTGACACTCTTAAAGGGGTGAATGTAAAAACAGGTCTTACGCAGAATGCATTGCTTGTTGCGTGTTAGCAGCTTAAGTGCTAACTCTTTCTAATGCTTGCTCAAAATGTTTCCCTTGCAACTAATCTACCATGCTTTGCAAGAGCCTGAGACAGGTGCTAGCGAATCTTTGGCAGAGAATACAAAGCAATACAGAAGAGATTCTATTCACAAACCAGGACAAATTGCTAAGACCATAAATGTATGTACAGTGTAATAATAAACCACCATCCTGAGTGGTAGACAGGAAACATTTCTCCACTTGACCTTGTTTAGACTAGGAAGATAGGTTGCTTTATGTTAGCTTACATTACATTTTAATGTGATTTTAAACACTAGTGCAGACAGTATCAATGCTTTTAAAAATGTGTTGCCTGGTTGTGGTCAACCCCAGCTCCTGTGCCCCCAGCATAAATCTTTTTATTTTTTTGGTAATCAAAGAGTAGTTTGTCTACTGTTAAATTAAACAAATAATCAAAATAAGAAAATACTGTACATTGTCTTGGAAAAGTTTGGATCTCCCATATAATCAAATGGGGAGCTGCGTTGCCTGTATCAGTTGTCTGATAGAGGGTGATCATCAGCATAGCAAAGAGTGGGCTCTAGTAGAAAGAAACTTTGCCCTTTCACAGTTATAAAAAGCCTGAAAGTGTAACAACTATTTCTAAACTCTTAAGCGCATATTAAATAGTTAGCTGTCCAAGGGATAACTGCTCATTGCTGTTCTTTAAGCAGCAGCCCTTTCAGGCTCTGCCTGTGGAATTCAGTCGGATAATCAGCTTTATATATGTCACAGGCTTAACCTATCTTAAAAAGAAATGTTTCATTGGAGTGGCTCTGAGTGAGAATACATCCATTCGTGCAGTTGCCTTGTCCTAGCCCCTGAATGAACACAGGGATGAGCATACACTGCTTCACTGAGGACTGCAGTTGCCGTTCAACAACATCTGCTGTTTTGGGCAGCTTTCAAGAGAGAATGAGTGCCTCGTGTTCATATACCTGATACAGCCAATGCCACATCCTGGGGGACTGCCCTGGTTACTACTCCCTCTGTGGAGCATCTTCCTCTCATATTGTGGTTCATACAAGCTTTAACTTGCAAACCTTTTTTTATAGACTTAGCCATTCTGGTCTGAAATCCAAATGGTGGTGGCATGACTACTTCCAGCAGCAGAGAAGGGGCTTCTGCACTTGTATTCTCCTCTCAGTTTAGGGTCAATGCAGTTTGCAGAGATAGCGTCTATTTCAACTTCTCTGCTGTGGAAGAGTGCAGGGTAGAAAAGTCCAACTGATTTCAGTTCTCTATGTGCCATATGCAATGTAGAGGAAGGAGAACCAGCTGCTTCCATAGTCCATGCTATGTTCAGACTAACAAACAGAAATAGTGAAAACAAAACATAATGCATTGAATAAGCAGTTCCCAACACCAGAGCCGGTAGGGCATTAGCTTGCCAAATTTTCTGATAACTGGAATTAGTTTTGAATTGATGTTAAGCACAACAGGAAATGAGTTCAACAGGGCATGCCAGTTAGCCAAGACCTGCTGCTGCTGTAAGCTCTAGCACCAAAGAGTTAATGTGTCTTTCTGAATGGAAGCTTTCTCTGCCCATATTGACCTCATGGGGGCTTCCACCCGTTTGCGATGTGACTTTGTAGATAAGGCATCCAGACTTGCACTGAAAATTGTAAGTGTCTCTGCACCAGAATGTCTTGAAGAAGCCAGGTCTGTAGATGAGTATGAAGCCGGAGAGGAGAACCTGACTCTTCAGTACAGAAAGTAGTTTCCTTTCCACCAAAAGAGCCATGTAGTCTGCCTTTCCTATTGCCACCACTGTTTCTAACTGGAAGGGGACAACATGCGGTGCCCACTCTGACCAGCTGCACAGAAGGGTTTACAGATGGGGAAACTTTCCAAAATATCAATCTCTCTTTTTCTCCCCCCCCCCCCCCTACCTGTGACTTGCTGATGGGATCACTATGTTTAAACAGTGCCTTGCTCTCTTCTTGTCTCTGCTCCATCTGCTCTTCTTTTGATCACCCATGGAAGTCACTGCTGAATTTGTAACAGGTTAGCTGCACAAGTTCAAGACTGTGACTTTACTGAAAGATGAAGCAGCAGCTCAAGTGAGGACAGAATTCAAAATACTGGTCTCTGCAATAGTATCAGAGGGAATAGAGTGTTTGTAATACAGAATGAATGGCAGGGGTACAAGGCACTAACTCTTATCCTTTGCCTTCAAGCCAAGGCTTGCCACGTGCATGAGGAATGGCACTTTGACTAGTACTGACTATTCAGAGCAGCTGGACGGAGATAGGAAGAGGCAGGCTTGGTTGGAGGATGTGAATTTTACCTGCTTGGGAAAATCCTGTATCTTTGCTTTGCTCAAATAGTCTTATGTATGAAGCACTTTATCAAACTGCAGGAATTAGAAAACTATTACTACAGCTGATAGACTGGAAATGTTTACAGAGTATATTACATTCCAAGATTCTATCTCCAATGTGTTTAAAAAATATGTATTTGTAAGACAAAAAAAAACTTGTATAAGAAGTTTAAGAGTGGCTTTATTATTTCTGGTATGGACTGATTAAACTCATTGCCCTGCATGCTGAGTTGGGAGCAGACCCAAGCCCTGTACGGCTCACCTGCTGCTGTCCTGGGGTGAAACCTATTTCAAAGCCCCTGCTGAAGGTTCTGAGCTTTATAGCACTTGTTCACTTATCAGCATGAACAGCTGAGCAGGAGGGACAGTTAATAACCATTTAAACAGTGAATGAATAGTTAAGGTTAAGAGAAATGAGAACCTGGGCAGGGCCTAAGCAGTGCTATGCAACCACATTGCTTTATTTTACCCATTGCCACAACCTCCTGCTGCTTTGAGAGGAAAAGAACTAGAGCCATGCACAGTTCCATGCCCAGCCTCCCCAAAATGCTCCACCCTCAGCTGGCCCTGAATAAGAGGAAGCAACACACTGTCCCAGTTTGTAGGATGGGTGGGGAAGAGAATTAAGGGGAGTGCTAGTTCCAGTGCTGTAGCCTGTGAAGAAAGTGGTTAACTATCACACTCCAGTCTCTATGCTGCCTGGGGGCAGGTCTCCTGCTTCTGGACTATTTTTAAGGGCCTTTCAGAAATCATCTCGTCACTTCCCTGGAACATGAATCAGACCGTGAATGCTATATTCATTTTAGTATTTTAATGTAAAAGAGGGCCATCTGAGAAGGAACAGATTATTGATCTAACTGTTAAAGGAGAAGGGATACCATTGAATTATGGGAGTCATTACCAAGCCATAACTGAAACACCCCACACCTTGGAACTGCACCAGCACAAGAACTGCTGTCTTTTGTTCTCCCTCAAGAGAAAAGTCACTTTTTCTCCTCCACCCATCCAGTAGATAAGTCTCCTCTGCTGAGAAAGGAGCGCATTGCATAAAGTGGCCACTACTGTGGCATGTTAATACCTAATAGTTGGGGCCTGGCCCAATATGGGCAATGATGTATTTGGTGAGGGCGGAATGCTGCTGTTTCCTCTTAAACCTCCTCCACTTGTCTCAGCGTGTACTCCAGAATAGTGTCTAGCCCCTGGAACTTAAAATAGCCCTGGAACGACTTCTTTTGGAGCAGTAGGGGGAACCAGTAGACATCATCTGGCCACATGTGACTGAAAGGCACCTGATCCAGTTGAAACCACTGTGGACGCATTTCTAAAATAGGAAGAATAAAGAGGTTTGGGTAAACTTATTTCACTGCTCTTTTGTTTTGATGCTGGGTGTCCTAGGAGGGAAGGAAAGCACTTCCAACAACTATGATCCATAGGCCTGCACAGCTAGCTGGCTTCCTTATGGAGGGATTGTAGGGGGAAATTGTCCAGAGGAAGAAGCAGGACTCAGGGAGGCAATGGGCTGCTAATGTTGCTCAGACAACACAGCCCTACTCAGCCACCACCCGCTTTCTAGTAAACGCTGGCAGGACGCTTCTGGTCAGGAGAATGAGGGCTGAGAGTCCAAAACTAATATTGAGGGTGTGGGGGGGGAGAGAAATTCAATGTGCATCATAGAGGCCCACATAAGTATGGGACCAGCATCACCCCTTCTCCACATATGCTTTTAAGTATTAGGAAATAGGGGCAAACAAATCTTTGTGCTGCCACTTGCCCTGTGCTCCTACCATCACTTTCTGTTGGCTCTCCATGAAAGTTGTCCGTCCGGAAGATGTGGACTTCCATGAGCTCAGAGTTACCTACAAACTCGAAGGTGATCTGACCTATCTTCTGCAAGTTGTCTACAGTCAATCCACTCTCTTCCAGCAGCTCCCTGCAAGAGGGACAGATATCTTTGCATGAGGGTGAGCAGTGGGAAAACACAAACTCAACACACCACTCTGGGGTGAAGGCAGAGAGACAGCCTGCATCTTTTGCACAAACGTGGACAGAAATTGAGGGGGGAAGTTGACAACTTTAAAGCAGGAGTGCCTAAAACTTCCTCAGCTTACGGTCACATTGGCAACTTGTCAGGAGGGTGGAGGATGCACCTGCCAGTGTAAGATGAGAGCAAAATGTAACTCGCAAAGTGCATAGGTCCCAGCAAGTAATGGTCCAGCCTGAATGCCAAATTGCCAGCCTACTTGGACCAAGAGGGCTCAGAGCATGCTGGGACCTGCAATCTGCTGGCACCACGCACCTGCATTAGATAACTATTAGAGCGAGGGCTAATGAGCCATTCCTAAATGATGCATCATGGAATCCAGAAAGCAGGGAATTGTTAAAACTTTGTGTGTGTGAATTTTGCTGTTTGGATAATGATGGCGTATTCCAGAATCCACATGGGAGGATTGGCAGAAAATGGCACCCTGTGAGTAGAGATCTCGGTGGATTTAGGACAAGCCTACTGCCCATTGCCGGAAACAGGCTTATTAAAAACGTTGTATATTCTTGTTATAGGAAAAAATTCAAGTTTAAAAAAAAAAGGGACATTCTGGAGAAATTAGGTAGAGGAAAGATTAGGTTTAGCCTTTTACAGTTGAACTCTGTACTTTTGTATTAAATCGAGTTATTCAGCCATTACTCCTCTTGCAAGGGGCAGATCCTTTTTAAGATACACTACAGCTGGGTGAAAACTCTCCCCACCTCCAGCCTCACTTAATACTGAGCAGCTCGATGGGATCCTTCCCCAAGGCAGCACATAGTGCTTTGCAAATATCAGTTTAGTTAAGCCCTCAGACATCTTGGTGAGGAAGGTAAGATATATAAGGATGTCAGCATTTACCAATGGAATTCCGCTACTGCCGAGGCTGACTGAAACTGCTGTTTAATAGCACAGGATACTAGGTAATGGTTCAAGACAGGAAGTCAATACTGTATCCAGCTGAAATGCAGGGGGGATTTTGGAAGGTTGGATGCAATGATCAAAGCTGAAATTTGTTCAGAACTGTTGGGCTGGTTTGCTTATTTTTATGAAAAGTGTCAGTTTCTTCTCTGATGAGCACAAATAGCCAGGTTTACATCTTATCCGAAAACACCATGCTGGGGGCCATGCCACTGACCCAGAGAAGAGTGTCTCTTTTTTGACTTGTCATCTCCTCTTCCAATGTGCACCTAAGTACCACAAAAGGTCTCTCATTTAAGTATTGATCTGGCTCCCCTTTTAATTCAGATATTATGAATCTTCAGCAGTATTTTATTGGTCAAATATGTAACAGCTTTCACTTGCAGGTCTGAATTGCCAGTACAAAAACCTGTAGTGAACTGTGTTCAGAGGACAGAACTGCTCGGCTTCATTCCAATACTGATGCAGGATATCATCACAATCCATGTGATGCCAAATATTTTACTTCTTATTTAGACCAGTGTAAATAGTGTCAACCATTATGAAAAAGCAGTGACTACAGTGAACTTTCTGTGTACACACTATGTGAAAGTATGAGAGGCTAAAGGATATACTTAAAATTCTGCTATGTCTTCTCTGAAGTTGCCAGCCAGCCAGTTCCCCACTTCATCACACAGGGCTTGGGCCACTTGGGGGGAAAAAATAGATTAACTGCTTTATTTACCTTAAGGCCCTTTAGGCATTTTTTTGTCTGCCCCTGACAGACTAGGTATGGAACTGTGAGCTTAGTCCAGGGCTCTTCCAATGTACAGCAATAACTAATAGTTTGAAAGCTACTGTATATTCAGCTGCAGTATTTAATTAAAGTTAGACCTGACTTTAAAATGAATGTGTAGTTGGATTTTTTTTTTTTATTATTTTTGGCAGGGCAGCAACTCCCAAGTTCAGTGTAATGGGAACCCTCCGTAAGGTATCAACCTCTCTCTGGCATCAATCCCATTTTAGAATTACACACTGATTTCACGGTTTGACTAATTTTAGTTGATCTTCCTGGAATAGATGATAGTGTCTAAAATAGATGTTTTCTCAGCAATAGAGGTTAAAGCTTCATTTCACAGGCTTCATTTCACTGGGTGTGACACTGCTATGGCTTTCTAAGCAGTTTGATACAAATTTGTACAGTCCAGTTCCCTACATAGTGGCTGGAAACATAATGGGTAAAAAATTAAACTAGAAATAATGAACCAGTTCAATGCTCCCTTAATAAGCTAATGTGACATGGTGAACAATGGGGATACTGTGTATCAAGTGAGCTACAGTAGCTGTTGAAGCAGGAAACATA